AATAGAGGAGAATGAATGGCAATGGGCCAATCCTAGAAAATTTAATAAGGGGTCAAAATTGAGAATAAATGAAAAGAAATTAAGTAGAAAAGTAAAAAAAAACTGAATTCGGATTCGAGCAAATAATGGTGTAAGTCGAAATTGGTTTATGGAGACGTTACTATAGGGCAATACGATGAACTATGATATATAGATCTAGAGATTTCTAACTTTTATCTCTTCAAATTATGGCACTTTTTCGATCAACTTTTGCATCTTAGAAGCAAAGATTTCATGTTGCATGGAGTACAAATTAGTGAAACAAGACATGCATTAGTTATATTTAGTACACATGGATTATCTTCTTATAACATAACAATTAAGATTGTGTATATTTGATATTAGAAAATTGTTTTCACACCGATGTCGGGCACACTAATTCTAAGTTCCATGTGCAAACTTTTTCACCATATATGTAACTTAATTGCTCATGTATATATTACATTTATTAGTTAACATGTTCAGCTTTGACATGATATATATTACATTTATTAGTAACTGTGAAACCATAATATATATATATGTTGTGCCTTATATGAAAATTAATGCTAAGCCTGAGGTTATTGTCTCTGTAGACATTACATGCCCACGTAGTTTTTTTATTTTTTATTTTATCCACACATGCGTAGGTTAAAGAGAATAGCTAAGACCATCTTTAATGCTAAAAGTCCTTTTCACATGTCAAATCTATAATTTGACAGATGCTACAGTGTCAAAATGCTACATTTTAGTAATTTTGCTCCAATGGTGCATTTCATGCAAAATACTATTTTTTTTACAGAATTACCATTCCTACCGTTCATATTTGCATCAATAATATTAATATTAGACACATTTCAAGTCAAGTTGTAAACATTATAAGGAAACTAAAATTAAACCTAATTAAAAAGAAGCAAAAATCTAAAATATCTGGTCAAAAAAGGACAAAAAAAAAAAAAAAAAATTATTATTTTTTTACCACTATTTGTGAATTAATTTTTTTATATAACATTTTTTTTTTCTTTTTCAAAAATTTATATATATATATATATTATATATATATGTATATTATATATATTTGATTATATTATTATTAAAAATATATATATTTTTAGGGCAAATCATTTCAGCCTCCCCAATCGCCTCCATCTCTATTCTCGTTCTCAACTCTGAGAACTTGCCCCCTCTCTCTGTCTCTGTGCAACTGCAAACTACAAAATCTACAAGAATCAGAAGTTCAAAACCCATATATTTCAGTTTATCTATCTGTCCGCAAGAATCAAAAGTTCAAAACCCATATCGGCATATCATTTCAGATTGCTTAAAAAATCAAAAACCATATCTTTCAGTTTCCATTGCCCGCTGTTCCAGATGGCCCCCCCCCCCCCCCCCCCTCTGCAACTACTAACTTATATGTATGGGTTTTGTTTTAATTTTTTTCCTAAATGATTTTGTGTGTGTGTGTGTATATATATATATATCATCAAGGTCTGTAATTCTTATTTTGTAATCAAAAGTTCAAAACCCATACATTTATGTTAGATTTGGCACAAAATATAGAAATAACTATTGCTATTGGTTTTGTTAGATTTGGCACAAAAAATAGCAAAGGCAAATTTTGACAGCCAATATAGCAGGCCATTGGAGAACCCAATTTTAACCCACATGCTATATTTTGAATTGGTAGCTCATATGGTAACCCCATTGAAGATGCTCTAAGAGCATCTCCAATGCTCTCTCATTATGAGCTCTCAAACTCATAATTTGAGAAATGGGTAAATAAAGCTACTCCAATGGCTTTTCATTTGGCCTCTCAAAATTTGAAAATCTCAAAATTTCTCTCAAATATAAGAGTTGCCAAATTTTTTTGGCAGTTCTCTAACACCAATCCCCCACACACACACACATATATAATTTCAAACACACACACATAATTTCAACCCAAATTCGTCTATATATATATATATATATTTAAAAAAGATCATAAAAAATTTCACCAAATAGGATTTAGTTTGCAAAACAAGAATTACAGACCTTGATTAGTTGATTTAGGAAAAAAATTAAAACAAAAACCATAAATACAATTTAGCAGTTACAAAGATAGAGAGGCCAAGCTTGAGAGTTAGCGGTTGAAGCTTGTGAACGGCGAACCCGAACTGGAACAGCAGGCGATGTAAACTAAAAGATATGGGTTTTTGAACAATCTGAAATGATATGCCGATATGGGTTTTGATCTTTTGATTCTTGCAGACAAATAGATAAACTGAAATATATGGGTTTTGAACTTCTGATTCTTGTAGATTTTGTAGTTTGCAGTTGCACAGAGACAGAGAGAGGGGGCAAGTTCTCAGAGTTGAGAACGAGAATAGAGATGGAGGCGATTGGGTAGGCTAAAATGATTTGCCCTAAAAATATATATATATTTTTAATAATAATATACTCAAATATATATAATATATATATATATATATATATATATATATATAAAATATATGAATTTTCGAAAAAGAAAAAAAAATTATATAACAATATAACCATATATATATATATATATATATATATATATATATTGGTCCTTTTTTTTTACCAGATATTTTAGATTTTTGTTTCTTTTTTAATTAGGTTTAATTTTAGTTTCCTTATGATGTCTATAACTTGACTTAGAAAGTGCCTAATATTAATATTCCTGATACAAATATGAATAGTGGGAATGATAATTAAAAAAAAATGATGGTTGTGTCAAGAAATAACATTTTGCATAAAATGCATTATTGGAGCAGAATTACTAAAATGTAGACTTTCAACACTATAACACCTGTCAAAATATAAATTTGACAACTAAAAATAACTTTTAGTATTGGAGATGCTCCAAGTCCTTAAAAAGTTTATATTTCATCCATCTTAAAAATATATATATATTTTGTTTGAGAAGACGTCAGTTTTCACATTAAATAAATAAGTAAATAAAATTTTCTTTTTGAAAAGAGGAAGTATTAGTATATCATATTGACCCATGAATTATATAGTTGGTAGTTGAACTATTGATTTGTAATTAATTCAACCTTATCTTTTTCCCTTCCTTTTTAGGTAGTATGTGACAAAATATCTATATGTGTATGTTCAGCTTGTGCTTGACGTTTGAAATGACAAACTGCCTCAATCAATGGTTGCAAATTATAGGATATAACATCGCCAAGTGTCAACTTAGGGAGGGTACTCAATAAGCATTAAAATCGTATCTAATTTTTCTTCTTTTTCTGTAAAAAAAAGTCGCATCCAATCCAGTGAGTGAACGATGGTCATATCTAATTTTTTTCCTAATGAAATAATTAGTCTCCACTCTCTAACAATTTTTTACTAAAATTTAATTATTTGAAGATGATTATCAAAAAAATTCAGTGAAAACAATCAAAATAGATATGCTGTCTATAGTTAAGTAAAAAGAAAGAAAAGAAAAAACCTAAATTAAATATTATAGAGTTTTATTTTTATGTAACTATTTACCTCGAAATATATTTGTTCTCAATTATTTCAAACTATTATAATATATCATTTCCTCTGCGTTATTTTATTGAAAAAGACAAATTCAGGTGACTTTTTATCAAAACTATGGTAAATTTAACATATACTGAAAACTATGTATATTTATATTTTTATATACTGAAAACTTTGTTATAAACGTCCATATTACTGTATATACACATATGTTACAAGAAGCATAATTATGAAACACGTCAAAAAAATAAACATATCACATAAAGATTTATACGTGATTCAACAAAACCTATGTCTACGATGAAAATTCAGCAAAAGTGTTTAATATGTGTAAAATCTTGAGATTTCAAGTTTCAGTCCCTCACTCTCAATTCTATATTAATTTCAGTGTCTCTCTCACACCCATTTTAAACACTAAACGGTCTTATATATTAGATTACAACAAAGTACTAATTAGGATCCATAACCATGAGCACATTAAAACAAATCAAAAAATTTGAAACGAAATGTCAAGTTGTATGCGGGTTGCGACCTGATACCAACTTTAGGCACACCATCACAATGTATTTACATATATAAAATTTTGTTCCCAACGATAGCAGCATGTCATCATTCTTGTTACAAATCTTTTTCTTTTTTTTTTTTTTTTGAAAAAAAAAAAAAAAAAAAAAATTGTATCACTAAAGGGATTGCGAAAATAAATTCTCACTTAATTTATTGTAACTATTTGTTTATGGGTAGGAATGGCTACAGAATGCTTATATGAGGTTCTCTTACTCGAAAATTTGCTATGTTGTTTATTTATTTATTTTTTATTTTTTAATTTTTAATTTTTAGTGACGAATTTTACAAATTTTGCTTGACTAACGTGAGCTGAGACTAGCTAGGAGATTTCTCTTCATACATATCTCATATATTGCATGAATTTGACTTCTTACCCTTTGTAAAAATTACACGAGACACGTAATTAAATATTACTATCTCCGTCCCTTATTAATTATCTATCTTTGGTTTTATAACTTTTGAGAGGGACATGTAATTAATGTATTGTTCTCTTTTAAAATTATCAAATTATTTTTTTAATTTAAATATATACAATTATAAAGTTTGAAATTTTTTAAAAAGATAAAAGGACAATAATAAAAAAATAAAGAAAAAATGTTTTGACTTTTCAAAGAAGACAACTAATTTAGAACATGTAATAATAGAAAAATAGACTTATAATAAGGGACGGAAGGAGTACTTAATACCTTAAAAGCTTATCATTATAAACTGATATATATATATATATATATATATATATATATATATATATATATACTCAAAATACATCACAATCCAAACATAATCCAAACTCGTGGTACGTACGTACTCATGCCCTTTATTTAAGCTTCTAATGACCTGCTATTAAGTAGTACTGTACTACAAATGCACACCATATCAGGAGTGCACATATACATTGCAGATAATTATAGATATATGAAGCTTTAGTTTCGGTCTCCATCAGCACCATCGCCATCGCCATGACCACCACCTCGGTTCCCGCCACCATATCCACCACCTCGGTTTCCACCACCGTCTCCGCCACCACCACCATATCCACCACCATATCCGCCGCCTCTGTTCCCACCACCGTATCCACCGCCACCGCCACCACCATAACCACCCCCATATCCGCCACCTCTGTTCCCTCCACCATATCCTCCACCTCGGTTCCCACCACCGTATCTGCCACCACCACCATATCCGCCACCTCGGTTCCCACCACCGTATCCGCCGCCACCACCATATCCACCTCCTCTATTCCAACCACCGTATCCGCCACCACCTCGGTTCCCGCGATACCCTTCATGCTTGGCATCATCTACCCCATTTGTCTCAGTAGCTGCTGCACATACACACATTATTTAATATTGCAAATGTTACTTTAAACTCATTGGACGTTAATTGTGACATGAAAAATATGATGCATGAAACATTGTGATAGAGAGATTGTAGACAATATTACCATCTTGTGTGTGTGTGTGTGTGTGATTAATGCACATGCAGCTTAAACTCACTCATTTTCTCAGTGGTAGTTTCAGCCAAGTCTCTAGCTGCCACCTCTGAAGTAATGAGAAGAACAAGAGCCAATGCAAGGCCAAGGAAAAGAAATGCCTTGGAACCCATTTTCTGATGACTTTATACTATTTCAAAGATATCAACTTGGAGAAGGATGAGAAAGCTAGTATGTTCATATCTCTATTTATAGGCTCACAGACTGAGAGTACGCGTATAGACATTAAAAGGAATAATAATATATAATATACATATATAGATATACGTCTAGGTCATACTGTAGTTGGCCGTTGGAGGGTTGGCTTTTAATTCATACCAAGTCAATCTTATCTTATTAATTAATTAAATTCAATCAATGTGAAAAGGAACTTCTTCTGTAACAGCAATACTTGCTAAGACTCCAGCGTCCTCACGTCTTCGAGTTTGATCCGAGTGTTTGACATTACAAAAAAACAAAGTTGATGTCCCACTCAACTTGAGAGAGAGACAGAGACCCAAAAAAGGCTTTTCTTTAATCTCATGAAAGAGACAAAATAACCAATGGGACTAATACCCATCATTTTGGTCACCATGGACTTGCATTTTAGGCCATTTATGGACTCTTGGGTTATACTTCCATAGTGCTATTATATTGGCCCAAAAGAATATGACATGGGTTGCAACCTTGTAGAATGGCACTTTTCTTTGGTATATGGCATGTCATCTCTCTCTCTCTCTCTCTCACGATTTTCAAGTCGGAGACCAAAATAATGATACATATAAATACAACGCAATCGCCCTTTTAATGGAGTTTTGATTTCAAAATTGAGCATCGAAGACGAGTGCCTAGCTTAGTGGTTTGAACTAGAGTCAGCCTTCGATCATATATTTTTCGTGGCCACCAATTGTGGCACTGTCCTCGACTAATTTGTTACAATAAATTACTTAACCGAAAGTCTATAATTGATTATTTATATATAATACAAGTAAATATTCATTTTTGTATTTATTGTATAAGTAATCAATTAAGACAAATAGGTCCGATAATTTATTGAAACAAATTGAGTCCGGAACCCTTTGGACGTAAGAATCATCTTCGTTGCATTCTATATTGCTTTTTCCACTTCAGGCAATATCCATCAAATATATCTATTAATTATCGCAAAAGATCAAGAGAATTAATTAGCTTGTGTTTGACCTTTAAATGCCAAACTGCCTCAATCTTCAACTTAGGGAGGCAGGTCAGTCAATCAGCATTAATTGAAATCGTGACAAGATGTTGACACTTACCCTTATTCTAAATTTTAGAATAAATTGATAAAAAAAAAAAAAAAAAAAAAAAAAAAAAGGCTAAATCAGACCCTATCATTGCTAAAAAATGAAAGATTAAAATTTCACACTTTTATGAAATACCACCTTAGGCAAAAATAGTTCCTCAATGTTTTAAAAATGACTAAATAATTCTCAGCCCGAGATTATGAAATTACAAAAGTACTTTAATGTGTGCAAACAATTTGTAACACTTAAAAATATAGATTACGAAACTACTAAAGTACCTCTATATGTGAAAACATACTGTAAAACTTAAAAAAAGGATAAAATGCAATAATTTCACCTTGGCATGTTGCAACAAACTCTCTTAACTACAAGAAGTTCACCTAAACTATTAAGTTGTTACAAGAAATTCTCTAAACTATTGATTTATTGCATTTCAGCAGATGATTTGCTCGGAAATATTAAGAAACAAATTTTCTCTTATTTAATACTACGTAGTTTTGAGAGTTATACCCTTAACTTGATGACGTTGCAGATGATAATTTTAGAAACCAATCAAAATGCAACAACAAAGCCAATCTTATCTTCAGCAATAATAATAATAAGGGTTAAAATCATAAAAGTTCCCACTACTTTCAAATTTTGATCATGAAACTTCAATCTATTTAAAAAAAACTCTTACGTTTTTAAAAAGTGATCACATAACCGGTTAATCAGGTTGTAATATGTCGAATTTGACCTTAATATATAATATTAAATTAAAAATTATAATTATTATTTTTGAAGTTACAAAAATACCACCGTAAGCAGTTAACCGGGTGTGAAGAGGAGGAAGAATATGAAGTATTTTTGTAATTTCAAAAATAATAATTATATTTTTTAGTTTAATATTAAATAGCAAGTTTAAATTTTACATTTCATAGCTCAATTAACGAGTCAAACATTAATATTAGAATAATGTGATCACTTTAAAATTAAGGAAACGATTGACATAGCCAAAAAAAAAAAAAAGCAAGGAGGGGGAAACATAAACATCACTTAATAACTTAAAAGCTTATCACTATAAAGTGCTTCAAAATACTAGTACATGGTAATCCAAACACAGAAAAAGGACATTCCCTTTCAAGGGGAACAAACGAATACTTCCTATATGCGTACGTTACCGGACACAAGGACAAGGTTATTATTACTCATGCCTTTATTTAAACGTACTTCTAATGACTTGGTATCAGTACCCATGCACCATATAATGAGTCCACATATATAGTACAGATAAAGATGCTTCAGTTTCCGCCTCCATGACCACCACCGCCATGGTTTCCTCGTCCACCGCCGCCACTGCCTCCGCCACCGCCACTGCCGCCGCTGCCTCCCCCATTGTTCCCACGGCCACCGCCACTGCCTCCACCTCCGCTGCCACCACCATTGTTCCCACGGCCACCACCACTGCCTCCACCATTGTTCCCACGGCCTCCACCTCCACCACCGCCACCGCCACCGCCACCACTGCCTCCACCATTGTTCCCACGGCCACCACCACTGCCACCACCATTGTTCCCACGGCCGCCACCACTGCCTCCACCTCTGCTGCCACCACCATTGTTCCCACGGCCACCGCCACCACCTCCACCACCGCCGCCGCCACCACCACCACCGCTGCCTCCACCATTGTTCCCACGGCCGCCGCCACCACCTCCGCTGCCGCCACCATTGTTCCCACGGCCGCCCCCGCCTCCACCACCTCCACCACCACCACCTCCACCACCTCCGCCGCCACCACCACCACCACCACCACCTTGGTTGCCACCATTATTTCCACCGCCACCTCGGTTCCCACCATCATCTACCTCATTTATCTCAGTAGCTGCACATAAACACGTTATTTAATGTGATGGCCAAATTGCTTTAGTTTGATCAAATGGTGCTCTTGAAACGTGTTTAAAAATTAAGCTCATTGTACATAGTACCATGAAAATTAAAATGCATGGAACATTGTGACACAGACTGTACTTGGACAAAATTATGTACATGAAACATTGTGACACAGAGTGTACTTGGACAAAATTATGTACATGAAACATTGTGACACAGACTGTACTTGGACAAAATTATGTACATGAAACATTGTGACACAGACTGTACTTGGACAAAATTATGTGATATGTGTGTTGCGTGATTAATGTAGAGCCTAAACTCACTCTCTCTCTCAGTGGTAGTTTCAGCCAAGTCTCTAGCTGCCACCTCTGAAGTAATGAGAAGAAGAAGAGCAAATGCAAGACCAAGGAAAAGAAATGCCTTGGAACCCATTTTCTTATACTATTTCAAACTAAACTGGAGAAGGATGAGAAAGCTAGTCTGTTACTTGTCTCAATTTATAGGCTAGCTCAAAGAGTGAGACTGACGTGAAAAGCCATTAAAGGGTTTATATATAATATATATTTATCTAAGTCATAATATGGTTAGGTGTTGAAGGGTTAGCTTTTAATTCATAAAAAGTCAAATCTTATCTTATTAATTAAATTCAATCAACTTGACAAAGAATTTGTATTAGAGCAATACTAGCCAAGACACCAGCGTGCTCACCCCTTCATCTATTCGATTGTGTAACATCACAAAATAGTCCACTCAACTTGAGAGAGACACACAGAAAAACAAGGCTTCTTCTGAATCTGAAGAGGAAAATTAACGGATGGGACTAATACCCAACATTTTTGTCCACAATGGACTTTCATTTCAGCCCATTAATGGGCTCTTCAATCGCCCTCAGGGGTCATACTGTGGGCCAAAACAATCACCATTTCTTTATAATTTAGGGCTTAATTGGGTGGGCCACAACGGCGGGTTTCTTTGCTATAGCATTTCATCCATTGAAGAGTAATAGGGTAAGAACTCCATACCAATGCAACTATACAAAGGATTCTTAAAATAAGGACGCGTACATTTATATAGCAACAAACATGTTAAATATACGAGAAAAAGAGGGGCCTTGTTAACACTTTAGCAGCTCAAATCGGGAAAATATATACTTCAAATGACTTTTAAATGTAACTAATTTTATATTAATATATCATGAGATAATTAACAATATGTTAAAAAATAATTAATTAAACATGTAAATTAAAGTAATAAAATAATAATAATAAATAAAGAACTTGGCTGAGGCTAATATTGGATAATATATCCTTAAGACAATTTACAACCCGCATAGTGCTGATGGACTCTGTGGCGCTTATCTCTCAGGATACAACGGTATATATCTACCAGTAGCAGCACTATAAACTCGTGGATGCGGTGAACCTCTTTTGTGTAATACTCTCTCTAACTAAAAAATGCATCTATACTATATAAATGCTAAATTGGGTGCAATTTGAATCAAATGATTCGAACCAATCTTAATATGCCTTGATGAAATTGGATTAGGGTCTAAGTGGCTCAAATCACTTGACCTATGGTTTGAACCTACTTGGGACGTTGGGTTCAAGTCTAGAGAGGGAGAAAGAAGAAAATAAATTGAACGATTGAATTATGGCAGCCCAAAAGGGTATTTATAAAAATAGAAGTGTCTTTTCGGATTGTGTGTGTTTCTTCATCATTAAACATAACCATTTATATGTGTCTATTCATCACTAGACACAACCATTTATATATCTCTATTCATCATGACTAGACACACCCATTACAAAAGGTTGCAATGGTTCACATTGAATAGATTATATTTGTTGGTTTTGAGTTGCATCTTTTCATCTCACAATTAACCAGTAATCATATATGTTCAGTCCAACACATCTGTTCATGACTATTCAAACAATTTTCATTCACAATTTCTAACATGTACTTCTACCCTTTTAATTAGTACCACCACTATGTGTTTGTGCATCATATCTGTGTATTATAATATTGGTAAAAATATCTCTTTAGCAATACAATTCTTTAACACGTTTAAATCATGTTATAGTTTCAACTTTCAACACATTTGTTTTTTTTTTTTTCGAATGGTTAAGCAAATATATTAATAATAATAAAGAGATACAAAGGGCCCAAGAGAGGCCCAGAGGGAAAAGGAACACAAAAAGCCAATCCAAACAGGGAAAGGTCAACCAAATTAAAGAAGATACATAGTAGCCAAACCCAAAAGAGGGGAACAACAACAACGAGGAAGAGAATCCTCAGCAACAATGTGGAGGATAGCCGTTGCTAACGGTGTTAACCGTTAGAAATGGATGTCCTAACAATTCCGGTAACTAAGTTGCTTCCAGCCCCCTTGATGCTTCACCTCTGTTCACTGATCAGGAGGGAGTGGTGAAGGACGAGCTGCGACTGGAGAATAAGACCATTCCAAAGCAAATTGAGAGTAGGAATCCTTGTGGCGAGATCTTAGAGCTTCAGCAACTGAATTACATACAATCTTTAGCACAGATGATTGAGAAGAAGGGGAGGATCTGAATATCCTATTGTTCCTTTCCTGCCAAATGTGATACACCATGGAGGCAAGGGCTAAACGGCAAATATCTATTCTGGGGGAAGAGTGATTCCAGTGGTGAGCAGCCCAGAAGACAAATTGAGGCCAACTTTCACTTCTTGTGTAAAAACAACATTTGTGTTGAATGAACTTCTATAAGGGGGAGACAAATTCACAATCAAAGAAAAGGTGAGAGTGTGATTCGGGTAGGGTTGAGCATAGGTGGCATACATTAGCAGAATCAAGATAAGACATACATTTAGAGTCCAATATGGAGAGTTTGGATTGAACTACAATCCATAGAATCATTTTGTGTTTAGGGATGGCCATGGAGTTCCATACCTGGTTTGACCAAGGTACAGGGTAGTGGGCTTGGGAAATGGCTGCTATAGTATGCTTAAGGCTATATTTTCCATTAGGACCTGCTAACCAAATAAATTGGTCTGGTTCTGAGGGATTGGGAGGTGAAACACTGTTCAGATCAGGAATTTGGGAGGAGAGGGGTTGAGGGAAGCTCCATGAGCTAGCATCAACAAAGTCACTAACCATAGCAGAGGGCGATATACTTGCTGACTGGGCAATGGAAATAGGGTAGAGCAGAGAGAGAGGACCTCTGTCAAGCCAAAATCAAACTAGAGATGGGTGGATTCACCATTGCCTACCTTGTGTTTGATGAGTTTCCATGCAAGAGGCCTTAACTGGAGGATTTTCCTCCAACTCCATGAACATGATTGTGGGATTTTGGTGGTCCAGAAATACTGATCTTTGATTAGACTAGTCCTGCACCAGTGGATCCAAATTCTCTGATTGCTTTCAACTCTGAGTTCCCAAATGTGCTTGAGAATTGCAGCCCTATTTGCAACTTCCAAGTTAGGGAGCCCAAGACCACCATCAGAAATAGGCTTACATACATTACACCATTTAACCCTAGCACTAGTCTTCTTAAGGTCAGGACCAGTCCAGAGAAATCTCCTCAGCAATGCAGAGAGGTCATTGATCACTTTCTGTGGCAGAATAAAAATACTTGACCAGTACAATTGGGTGGACAGTAGGACAGATTTGATGAGAACTAATCTTCCAGCATAAGAGAGGCTTCTAGAGGACCAATGACGGATTCTTACTGTGATTTTTTCAAGCAGCAGATTGTAATCAGCAGCTTTGAGCCTAGTGGAGATGAGGGGAACCCCAAGATGCTTGATGGGAAGTGACCCAATTCCAACACCAAGAAAATTAGAGAACAGAATCTCACTTGAATGATCAATACCTGAAAGGAAGACTGAGCTTTTGGAGGGGTTAGTAGCCAAACCAGAGAGTGAGGAGAAAAGGTCCATAGCTGATTTAAGAATAGAGATGGAGGTGATATCAGCATGACAGAAGAGAATTAAATCATCTGCAAATGTGAGATGTGTTATACCAACTTATTTGCATCTCCAACGATATTTGAACCTTGGAACTTGGGAGATGAACTTCTGGAGGATACCTGAGAGAACTTCCATAGATATAACAAACAGTGTAGGAGACAGTGGATCACCTTGCCTTAAGCCTTTAACACTATTAAAATAGCCATGAAATTCACCATTGATGGCTATTGTAAAGGAGGGTGATGTAATATAGGCCTTAATCCATTGTATAGTTTTGGATGGGTAGCCAAAAAGGGCAAGGGAGTCAAGTATAAAACTCCAACTAACTGTGTCGAAGGCTTTCCTTAGGTCAACTTTCCAAGCACATCTAGGAGATGGTGTAGAGGTATGGTATCGTCTCAAAAGTTTTTGAGCAAGAAGAACAGAATCAGTGATTTTCCTTCCAAGGACAAAGTTAGGCTGTCTGTGTTGGTTCAATTATATGTGGTAGTGAGGGCTACATTTTCAGTGCAATGAGTTTTGCAATGCATTTGTAAATGAAATTGCAACAGCTAATTGGTCTAAAGTCATTGAGAGTGGTAGGGTTTTGGCATTTAGGGACAAGGGAAATGTAGGTAGAGTTGCATTCTTTCAACAATTTCCTATTAAGGAAGAATTCTCTTACTGCCTTGGTGATGGTACCTCCTATAATTGGCCAAGCTTGATGGAAAAAATAGGCATTGAAACCATCTAGTCTCGGAGCTTTATCTTTGCTCATTGAGAAGATGCATTGTTTGATTTCAAGATCAGTGGGGATGGATTCAAGGAGTGGGATGTGTTGTGGAGGGATAGTTTTGGTGATAAAAGGGCTCAGGATCTCTTGACCATGCTGGGGAGGAGGATTATCACCTAGAAGGTGCTTGAAGAATGCAAGTGCTTCAGCTTTTATACCTTCAGGGGTAGTAATAGGTTCACCTGTGGTAGAGGTGAGGCTCAAAATCCTTTTAGAGTTGGACCTTGAAAGAAATGACTTGTGGAAGTAAGATGTGTTAGAATCACCAAGCTTGAGCCAGGTGATCCTTGATTTCTGCCTAATTACATCTTCCTCAGCCAATAGGAGCCTAGAATGTTCTGCTGAAAGAGTCTTTTCTAAGTTCCTGAGGTCAGCATCAAAGGTATTATGATCAAGTTCAGCTTGGCATCTGTCCAATTCCAACTTAACCTTGGAAATTTTCTCCTGCAGGTTAGAAAACTTATCCCTACATTCATCTCTGAGTGGCTGCTTCAGGGATTTGAATTTTTGGACAGCTTGAAACATTGAAGTACCATGGATAAACATAAAACATGTTTCAAAACCTTTATTTTACATTCAAACGCATAAAATATATATTGAAATTTAGAACAAATGTATTAAAAAATAAATTTAAACATGTTAATAATAATAATATACATTATAATAAAAATTAATTATACTTCATCTCCTTCTAAAAAATAAAAGATTGATAATTCAAGTAGCCTTAAAAATAAAAAGCAAGTGCTCACTTGTCCAACTTGGGACCATGTATACCCTAACAATAATCTATGGGTCCTCATGTCCTTGACTATAAACCATAGCGGTGAGCCCATCACGCGTTGTATTGAGGCTATTGGATCAGTTGTCTCTTTAATTATTACGAATATAATGGTTTTCACTTCATATTCAACTTCTAATGCTAACGACTTTCTAATAAGTGTAGTACATACGTATTATATAATAATTATTATTTTTTCCCCATATAAGGGTCTAATATATAATTTTAAAACTGTTCACTGGTCTACGTGGAAAGAATTAATCCACAATTAAATCCTCACAACGGAAAGCAGAAACACACACACATATGGACGAGGGCTGCAATCTATTTTAGGCCCATTGAAAATGTTAGTTTTACGATGCAAAAATTTAGGGTTACTAGCCCACTGATATTTGTTTCTGTGGATCATCCCGTTACCTTGTTTTATACCCATATATATATATATATATATGTTCAGAAAACTATGGCAGGGTCAAACAACAGGCTGAAAAGTAATAGCTTTAGTGTTTCAAATAGCTTATATATATGCATTTGGAATGTACAACTAAAGTCATAACCACCATAACTATATATATATATATATATATATATATATATATATAAGCACATAACCATCTAAGCTTCCTTTTGATCATCATATAAGCCTCAGGTGAGAAGCAGATTATAGAAAATGAGTATAGAAGTGTTAGATGGTGCCACCATTGTTAGCTTTGTAGAAGATGAAGAAGCATTCAACGGTTCAATCCATGACCACTTCACCTGCCTTGACACAGACCATGACGGCCTCCTATCCTATGCAGAGTTGCTGAAGAAGCTGCAGAGTCTCACGGTGTTCGAGACCCACTTCGGTATTGATGTCAAGACCGAACCAGACGAGCTCTCCCGCGTGTACACTTCCCTCTTCGTGCAGTTTTATCACGACTCGAATGGATCAGTGGATTTTGAGGAGTTCAAGGCCGAGAAGAAGCAGATGATGCTCGCCATGGCAAACGGGCTAGGATTCTTGCCCGTCCAAATGGTCCTGGAAGAAGACAGCTTCCTCAAAAAGGCAGTTGAACGCGAGTCCTCCAGGATAGCTGCTGCTGAACTTGTTTAAATCAACTATATAATACATTCCTCTACATTGAATTCAATCTAATGAAGTCACCTGTTTTAATTTCCTTGTCTTTGTATTTTGAATTTTACATGAATATTTTCCAGAGAACCATGCAAATTTTTTCTTTATTTCGTAAAATACTAAAACTAATCCTTACAACGGCTGTTTACTCCAAATTGTCACAAAAAAATAAATGACATTTTTAAGAGTTCATGAAATGTCAAAAAAATCCCGTATAAGAATTCTAACCCAAAATGAGACACTTTGTCTTGGCTTCGTTAATTGAACAAAAGTTTCTCACTCAAAATATCTCAAAAGATAATCGCATTAATTATTGCCTCAGAATAAAAATATCTCCAAAAAATAATCGCACTAAAAAGCCAAAATAAAAATACCTCCAAAATATAATTCACTAAAACCCCAAAATAAAAATATCTCTAAAAGATATTCATATAAAGACCCCAAAAATAGAAATGTCAACCAAATGAAATCGCACAAATACCCCAAGCACCAAAAGGTAAAGTATAAACAAGTGCAACACAAATCCAATTTGATACGAGGGTCAAGCACACAAGTATGAAATAAAAGAAGTGACGGGAACTATTCCCGAGCACTTGACTTAATCCGGTCCAGCCAGACCCGATCCCAAAAAATAAACTGAAAAAGAAAATACTGAAAAATAAACAAAAAAAAGGGACAGGTCCTTATAGTCTCGCAGCCAACCGAATATGGGTTATGTTCTTATTTATCCACGTAGGCCTCTAACCTAGCGGATTATTCCGATGATGAGAAGTTCATATCCAGTGATCGAGACAGACACAACAATCGTGAATTTCAGGTAAAATTTGATCTATTTACTTTCCATAGAAGTATTATTATTAAAGATGTCTTGGACTGGCTTGAAGAAATTGAAGAATTTTTCAAGTATTTTGATGTACCTGAAAACAAGCAAGTTTCACTTGTTGCCTTCAAACTTAAAGGATGGGCTTAAGCTTAGTGGTAACAAACACGGATTCACATGAGGAGGCAAGGAAAACAGCATGTGCGGTTTTGGTACAATGTGAAAAAGGTTAGTAATGGCTAAATTCCTACCACCAAATTATGAGGAGCTGATATTTCAAAAAAATCAGAATTGTCAGAAAAATAATCCATCTATCAAAAAACCTTCAGAAATTTTTTATAAAAAAGAGAGTTGTAATACCTAGGGATGGCAAAATCTCCATACCCAGCGGGTCCCCTCCCCACCCCGCCCCTGTTATGGCAGGTTTGGGGACCCATTTATGTAAATGGGGAGGGGATGAAGATTGTATTTGAAACCCCGGCGGGGACAGGGCGGGACTGAGGAGGGGTAATCCCGCCCCTCCCCACCCCGTTTATATTACATTTTTACAAAACTATCCTTACATGTTATAAAATATTACTAAATTTCATAGCTATATATATAGTATATTCACTTCTGAAACCCTAGATCTATTCCCTCGCAGTATAGTCGTTGTTGGAAGAATGTTATTTGTTTTGATTGATCATGTTGAAAATTTCCAGACTATTCCAAAAAATGTTATTTATGGTTTTGCTATAAGTTTGATCGAGTTGAAATGATATATTTTAAATTGTTATAATTGTGCTAAAGCTTTATTAAATTATTAGGTTCAAAAATATTATAATTGTGTTGATTTTGTTGAAGGTAAATTAGAATTTTAGAAAAGTTATACGGGCGGGGTGGGGCGGGGACGGGGGATAATGTGGCGAGGCAGGGAGGGGATGGGGGAGGGGGTTGAAATTTAAACGGGTATGGGAGCGGGGATGGGGGTAAAAAATTTGACTAGAGATGGGGATGGGGAAGGGGAATAAGATCCCCGCTCCACCGCGCCCCATTGCCATCCCTAGTAATACCCTAAGTTTTCAAAATGATATAAAAGGGATTTCATTATTTATTTTATTGTATTTTAGGTATTTACGTGGTTATGTGCTTATGTGGTTTCATGTTATATGTTTATTTGTTTTAATTGCTATGTGATGTATTTGATTTTTGAGGTGTTAAATGATGTGTTGTTTAATTGAATTATTTGTTTTAATTTAATTGTATACTTATGTGGTAATTGAAGTAATTGTTTATTTGTTTTATTAAATACTATTTTGCATTTAAATTTTAAGGATGGACTTGGATAGTAGTAATGGACCAATAGTTAGGTCTCATGGACTACTTGAATATGGGTTACTTATGGGTACGGATAATTACCCATATATGGTTGGTTGTATATATACTTGGGTGTATATGTTTAAGAGGATAGAATATTATTATTATTAATTATTTATTTTTGTGATAATAATAGTAATATTATGTTAATAGGTTATATATATATATAATTATAAATTATATGTATATATTAGGTTAGCACGTATAGGGCTGTATATGTATATGTAATTATATTTTTATTTTATTTTATGATTAGCCGACATATTATCAGGTTGGGATTAGGGTTGTATTAATCTATATATATGTAAGGTTATGTCTACCAAGGGTTTTAGAACCCTATTCACTTAAGAGTGGAGGCAGAGAGAAGGAACAGAGAGGAGAGAAGAGAAACCGTGAGACAAGAGAGAGGGTTTAGGCAAAGTAATTAGGCTAGAACAAGGAAGAAGGTTGAGGGCTATTCGAGGGTTAGAATCAGAGCAGTAAAAGGCTTGGACGACGGCCAAGGATTGCCGGAAAGAAACTAGGAAGAAGAAGTTAAGGTTTCAATTTGAAACCTAGAGGCAAATTCTAATTCTTGCTCCTTCCCTTTGACTTGTGTTCTGTGCATGCCTAGATAATCTCCAGGGTTTAATCAGATTTTTAAAACTGTTCTGGTATGCATATTAATTTAGAATTTTAACTGGATTCTGTATGGTTAATTGAAAATTTTGATGTAATGTATTAATCGTTTCATATTAGGGATTCTAAATTATTATTAATAATGCGTACTGTGTTTTATAAACTTTTGGGATTTATTGGGATATAGATTGAAGTCTAGGAACCTTAATAAAATATTATAGAGGGTTCACACGTCGCCGGAGGTGAAGAAGATGACGAAATTTGGTAGACGGCTCTCAAGGGAGAGAGAACTGGCTCCCTAATGGACAGAGCCGGCTCCCACTTAGAGGGAGCCGGCTCCCAGCACTACAGAGTTGGCTTCCACTTATGGGGAGCCAGCTCCAAAGAGGGTAGAGCTTGCTCTCGAAGTTTGGGAGCTTGCTCTCGCGCTGGAACTTGCAGAAATTGATTTTTTTTTTAAGTTCTATTTGACAGTTTGGGTTGTTCCAATGACATTGTGACAATTTAAATGAGTCAGATGGTTGAGATGATGGGACTAACTCCTACAATGCATAGTCTACATTAATAGGTTAATGGACTTGAACAATACGACACTTTAAATAGGTTTGCGTATTGTTATTTAAGGAATTAATTGCTTGCTATTATTTAGCAATTTAAATGGAGGAATAGTGGAGTTAAACTAATTCAATCAATTAATTGAATTTAAATAGTTGAACTATGTCTTGGAAGTTAAAATAATCTATTTGAGATGCATGTTAATTTATGATTGTAAAAATTAAATGCATTCTACTTAGAGTTATTATTTTGCTTGAGTAGATATCTGATTTTTATTATGC